AATGCTCTCCAAAATGGAAACTTAAGAAGCTGCAAAAAAAATAAAAAACATTTTCCTGAAATAAGCTAATGTGAAGTACACACTTAAGATATGAAGTGCCAATTTTGCCCATATGCTTCAAAATGTGTGCCATTAGACTGTTTTCCCTTCGTTGCACGTCATCCAAAATTTTAAATTTGAAATCCTTTTTTGAAAGATTTGACCTGACGTAAAAGCTTCCTCAGTTTCAATTTTTGGTTCAGTTTATTGAGAGCTGGTTTCCAAAAGTTTCTTATTTTGGGATGTGTACCACTTAAAATGAAGAACGAGATTATGAGGTGGAGGGCATTAGAATTTGGTCATGGTTTAAGAACTGTTTTGGTGCTTTATTTTATATCTTTGATCATAAATGCTAAGGTTACCTATAATCGTAGCTTTTTGTTTATTTAATAGGGAACTGGAGAAGATGAAGGAGGATGCTAAACTAAAGAATCTGCCACCGGTGTACACAGGTAAATGGGCCAGCGCAAGAGATGAGGAAGTTGAAGAAGAGCTGGCAAAAGGGACTCCTTATACATACCGGTTTCGAGTCCCTAAAGGAAGTTTAAAAATTAATGACTTAATTCGAGGCGAAGTGAGTTCTTTCCATCATTTTTTGATTTTTCTGTCATTATGTGAGTTATAGAAATAAATTCCTTCATTTCTTTGAATATACAGAATCAACTGATATCTTGGAAGTATTTTATCTTATCCTATAATTTTGTATCAGTGATCCCCTATAGATACAGAAGATATATGTGATGCTGTGGATTTAGCATTTTTTTTCTGAAGATTCCCTTTAGCCTAGAGGGTTATATTTTTTCAGTTGTGACATGATACATATATCACTTACAGGCATAACTTGATTATGAATGTGATCAGTAAAGGACTGGACTACATGCATTTTTCATTGGGAATAAATTAAAATTGACTAATTTTCAGAGAAAGCCTTGTTTTCGCCTTTGTGTTGCTTTTTTTTTCATACATTTGAGTTGATGGAAAATGAAGCATGAGATTTCTTCCAAAATAACATTTACTGGCTATTTATTAACTTACCTTTGGTAGTATCTTGAAGGTTAGTTGGAACTTGGATACACTTGGAGATTTTGTGATAATGAGGAGTAATGGCCAGCCTGTTTATAACTTCTGTGTAACGGTAGATGATGCTACCATGGCAATTTCCCATGTTATCAGGTAGTGATTATAATTTCTTAGTTAATCAGAATGTCTAAGATTTTTTTTCACTGATTTATTCTGTTGAATATTTTGCATTCAGGGCAGAGGAGCATTTACCAACACTCTAAGGAGGCAGATTAATATATAAGGTAAAATTACGAACCGTGTAGTATATCATATCACCTTTTACAGCATCAGTTTTTCCTGAAAATTCAAAGTGTCTATCATTGTTTTTGTTTCTCATTTCAAGTCAACACCAAAATGAAATTTGAATTTACTTAAAATATTGATTGAACGTGGTTTTATTTGACTTATGTGTAGAGCGGATGTATGGTATCACTGATAAAATTTAAGTTGTATTTTTAAGTGATTCATATATTATCAATTGGAATGTCAATGTGGGCTTAAACCATTGGTCAATATTTTACTTATTTTTTAATATTTTTTCCTAAGTCATGCATTAATCTTGGTTACTAATTAAGGTTTGTTCGACATCCGGACATGAATGTGTTTACAGGCATTAGGATTTCCCATGCCTTTCTTTGCACATGTTTCCTTGATTTTAGCTCCTGATCGGAGCAATTATCAAAACGACATGGAGCAACACAGTGGGAAGGTGAGGTGATTTATTCGTCCTTTTTCCATCTTTTTTAATCCGTCTTAAAATTGTGTTGTGATTTATGAGGTCTCACTTGATTCTCATTCCTTCATAATTTTTTACTATGTAAGTTTCCATTAAGTTTCTTCTCTTGTAATGATAATTAATTTCAAACTCTTATAACTGCTCATTCACAGTTCCGGGAGATGGGATACCTACCGGAAGCAATGGTGAATTACCTAGCATTATTAGGTTGGGGAGATGGCACTGAAAATGAGTTTTATACTCTTGATCAACTTGGTTAGTGATTTTTGTTACTCTACTTTTTGAGAATACTATCATAATATTTCATATCTTGTACTATTTTGTTTTCTGAACAGGAAACTTACTTGGCAATTTTCTTACCTTAAGAATGTATTTCTTGTGTAAACAGTTGAAAAATTCACTATTGAACGTGTTAATAAAAGTGGTGCTATCTTTGACTCAACGAAGTTAAGGTAATTTCTTGCTTTTTGCCTACTTTGTAAGCATAATCGGTGTATTATTTCCACAGCTAGCTTATATCCTGCATTTTGAGCTCAAATGGGTTAAATTTCTTACAATTACTAAATACAGGCAGGTTTTGTACTGAATGGGAAATTATTGTTTTTCTTTCATCAAGTCTAGGATGGGGAGTGCTAGCAGCATATTCAAAAGCAAACTTTCTTCAACACACTTTTATTGTTACTACTTAACTGGCATTTCTCAAGTCCAGGTTCTTTGCTGTGATTTTGGTGCTGTACCTTCAAAATGCACTCATTTTGATATTATGAAATATATTAAAAACTTTTTTATGTATCAAAATCAGTGTATTTTGAAAGTACAACTTCAAAAATCCAACAGAAAATACAAGTTCTCATTTCTCTTGCAGAGTAAATGTTGCATTTATGATTATATGTACAATGAGTTTATTTAGTCAAATTGTAATATAAGGTTCTATAAGTGGCTGTTCTGAGGCATTGTTGATGAAAGTAAACAACTATTACAATTAATGTCCCTGTAATATACTTTATGCCTTCAATTTAGGTGGATGAATGGTCAACATTTAAGAGGACGTCCATTGGAGGAGTTGACCAAACTTATTGGAGAGTACTGGAAGACATCTGGCATAGTCACAGTATCAGCTGGACCTTTTATTGATGTGAGATCTAATTGCATGCATTCTTGATTCAGACTCCTCATAAATACAATCTACTTAGCTTCATTTTCTGAAGCATGGTGATTTTTTTTTTAATATGGTTTTGACCCATCTTGCAACAATGGACTCAATAGTGATAACACACGATTGACTAACAGGAAACTGTTCAACTACTTAAGGATGGGATTGACTTGATAAATGATGCAGACAAGGCCCTTACTAACTTGCTTTCTTATCCTTTGCATTCTACTTTACAGAGGTGATTACTCATTCTTCTAAGATGGAATTTTTCAATTGGCCATATAAAATGAACAAGGTTAAGATGTGCATGCTATTGTGGATTTAGCTTTGCAAGTCTGAGGGTCACAACTTGTAGCTGGCTATAATATTGTGTATTGTATTTGTAGATAAGTGTTTATTTATAATGGCAGTGGTATTTGCACTATTAGTAGTTACAACTCTACATGTTGGTGGCAGCGATGAAGCAGAACCTCTCTTGCAAGATAATCTTTCTGAGTTTGCCGATAGCCTATTGGCAGCCTATGATAGTGGTGATATGGTGGCAGCACTTGAAGACGGCCATGCCGGCTGGCAAAAGTGGGTGAAAGGCTTTGGTAAATCGCTTAAGCGGAAGGTGAGCTGAACAGTCTTAAACACCACTTGCATTCTATTGATAAAGTATTTTGGAAAAAATATGTTCTTTCAGCCCCTAATTTTGGTCAAATGTGTTTAAAGCCTGTTGTTCTTTTGTGTTAAAGAGTTTGTTCATCAAACTAAACATCTCCACTTTCATGTTCAAGGGAAAATCACTTTTCATGCCTCTTAGAGTTCTGTTGACTGGAAAACTTCATGGACCTGACATAGGGGCAAGTGTTGTATTGCTCTATAAAGCTGGAATTAGTGATGTAGTGGCTCCTGAAACTGGCTTTGTGACATTGGATGAAAGATTCAAAATGCTTAGGCAAATCAACTGGGAGACATTGCCCAAGGATCAACCTGTCAAAGAGACTGCTGCTTCTGTCTAACTGAGATTTCACTATCAAGGTCTATCAAATAAAACCATGGTTTTTTACACTACTGTTTCATGCAAATTTGAGTACAGAAATGTTTTTTTTTTTGTAATTTTTCCGAGGGGTCTTGTTCAGGCTTAATAATGAGTTTCATTTTTTATATATAAACGTTTGTTTCAATGTGACTAGATGTATTTTCTAATATATTGATTTGGAAACATGGATATTTTGGAATAATGTATTTTTTTTAACTATTTGAGTAATGATGAGGAGCTCAGTGGTTTTGTTGCTAGTTGTAGTTTCATGGTGGATTTTGTGGTGCTTTGTGATGTTCAGAGGTAGTAGGTATATAGGTTGTGATGGGATTAGGAAGGAGATACAACTGGGGCAAATTCAGAAAGAGACCAAATAAAATAAAATAAGATAAACAGAAAAATATCATTCATTTATTTTAAAATCAGTGATCTAATAACTGTTAAATATACCCTCCCATGTTAGGTTAAAAGAAAAAAAAAAAAAATATCATTCACCTATGTTAAAGTTAAACTTGGATAGGCTTGATTTAATTTAATTTTACAGTTTGGTTTAGGTCTATTTTTGCGATTTTTAATTGTAAAGTTATTAAATATTTTATAATGGAAAATATATCTATTGTAAAAGAAATCATGTGTTTGCTTTTGAGATTTAATTTGAATAACAATAGTACATGTCCTATAGAATAAGAGTACGTGTTAATAAGAAACTAAGATTACAACTTAAAAACATAATAGCCAAATCCATCGATAGGTATTCCCAACTACTACAGTGCAAAAGTTAAAACACCTTGTGTTAGTTTAGATGAATATTTCTTGCGTTTTAGCAAATAATTAATAAAATAAGTGATTGATCATACTATTACCCCAGGTTTATTATTTCCTGCACCCACACAATTACTAACTGAACCTATAATAATAGGAAAAAGACTTAAATATCCTCCACCCCGAGTTCATTACTGCCTTCATTTCTACCATCACTGTCACTATAAAGAAAGAAGAAGGCAACGAGAATGTTAAAGAGGAAGAATGTAACATCCCGATAAAATTTACTAAAAGAAATATTATAGATTTGATAAAACATAACATAGAAAAAAAAAATGTAGTTTATCTTATCCAACTAATAGTTATATCAATAAATCACATTTTTTTTAACTTTCTAAACAGAGATATCTCAAAAGAGATAAATTGTTATACAAAAAGTCTCCGTATTTATATATATATATATATATATATATATATACATATTTATATGCTAAACTCCAACATTTAGAACATCTTTTGCTCACACCAAATGATGATCATTGCCAAAGAGATTATAGCAAAAAGAGACAGACAACACAAATGTAAGGGTAAACTAGTATACGAAAAATCAACATATTACAATTTAATATAAGAAATCATATCTCAACATTCACAACCTATCACACACTTGATCATATCATAGCTCAACATCTTCACCTCATTGATCTGAATTCGACAGATTTCGCTGAAGGTTTTCACCCATGGTAGTATTTATACTCTGTAGATTCATAAACAAGGATCACATGACCTACTTCCCCATGAGGTTAGTCTTTCCTTACATGACACAAAGGGCTAGGTAAAGACCTCCTACCATTTTCTCTGTCATTCACTTTACATGAGCTGAATGGTTGGTAGAATATCAAGATACATTCTTTCCAAAGTCTCACTATCAAACATTCACCACAACTCTCATTAACATAGAATCTCTCCTTGAGATTCCTCTTAAATTACCCATCTCTCCAAAGTCTCACTATCAAACACTTATCATCATCATATTCATCAATCATAACAGGTTCACAAAGCATAAATAAACGTATACACATCTTCATTAATCACCTCATAACCATCATCATCGCTATCATCACATACTTGTGGTATTCCAAGTATAAAATCATTAATAAAAATCTGGAAATAATAACCACACAATAATACAATTTTCTTCAGGGTAACTTGATACTCACACTAGACACAGAAAACAACCTAGAAACCCTCACCAAAACCCCTAAAACGACCTAAAGAACGTCCAAAACAGATGTCCAGAACCCCAAATTTGAGATTCCCCACAACTTAGTTTCTGCCAGACAACTCCTCACCAGACTACTCTTACTTAGACGATCTCTTACCAGATGATCCCTTACCAGAAGATCTCCTACCAGACGACTCCTTGCCAGACGATCTCTTACCATACGACTCTTACCCAAATGATTTATCAGACTACTCTTACCCAAACAATATCTTATTAGACGATTTCTTACCCAAACGATCTACTAGATTTTTTGTACATTAAGAGATCAACTAAGCCCTAAATGATCCCAAGATAGTTTCCAAAACTGTAGAATTTCCCTTAAATCATGATCTTATAATCTTGTTAAAAATCCCATTTTTATGCCCAAAACTCATCCTTCTATTACTTTATTTCATACCCAAGTTCTTAAAAACATATTAGCTCAAATTCACTAAATCTACATTTCTCAATTCATCAATAAACAAATTTTATATGTAGCAAACTAGACACCCCAACATACACAAGTTCTCAATTCAACATACCATCCTCTTCAAGCACCCAACATACCAAATTTCACAATTTAATTAAAATTCATAAATCAATCGTAACATAATCATTGTTAATGGTCATTATATGTATAAAAGCATAGGTGATGTTGTTGATTTCATTGTTAATAATCATTATAGATATAAATGCATTGTTGCTTTACTGAAAATAAATGAAAAGTCATGATCTCTTATCCGACATGATTTATTTAAAGAACTTAGTCACTAACAAGATGCATATGCAATATTAATAATAATCTAATATCAACTAGTCTACTCACTATTAGAGATACATATTAATATAGTTTACACTTTACTTTTACTTTTTTTTCTTTCTTATTCAATCTATTTAAAAACTTAATTCTATCAAAAAATCAACTAAATCCTATATTTAATTTTTAGAAATTTGCAAGACACCCAAGCCTCATAAATCATAACTTTAATCAACTAAATGTAGTCATGGATATGCATTTTCAGTTATTGCCAAATTTACTGTAAAATAATTAAAGTAGTTTTGGAATATTTGTTTATGTTCATTGAAAGCACTCTTATTCAATAATTAGAAACGAATAACTAATCCGAATTTAATTTTAACTACAAAATTTTATGGTGCATTCTCAAAGGCTCTATAGCTGTTTCATAGCAATGCATTCTTCTTTTTTATCAAGATGCAGAGGAAAAGCCGTGATACCAACGCAAACATTCTCTATTCATTGCCAAAAACATTAACGAATCATTTTAGTAGAAAAAACATCAAAGCATCATGACATTGGTTGTAGTGACAAAAACAAATACAAGGTTTCTTCGCAACAATACCGATCCCTATATCAAACTTTCTTCTTTTGTTCAATTCCATTCTTCAGGACTATGCAACTTGCCATGTCGAGCTTCAATCCACATTAGACATTCGCACAACCTAAGATAAAAAAAAAGTTTATTAATAAAAGCCATGTTCACACCAAAGGCTGAACAACTTAAATTCTAGGAAACCTACCAGAAAAATAAAAACATTGACAGAATTCATGTTTTTAGTTGCTATACAAACATTCTGTATACATTTTAATGCCTCCGAGATGATGCTTTTAATTATCTTCATAGAGTCAACTGATTCATGTCGACTTCTAAATTTTCAGGACAAACAACATCCTCTGAGAAGATGAAATACTTAGTTGCACCAAACATGCTGGCTAAATTCAGAATTACACTCTCATAAGAGTAAGTTGGAGGCATGGCAGGCATCGGAAGAGCAGGGACACATGTCGGAAGGAATTTGTTCTCTTTGTAAACTGGTGCATATAGGGTCAACACTTCCTGACAAAACATGAATCTGAACAAAGTGTGAAGCAAACTTGACATAAGAACATAGAGTGGCAAAGTTAAAAACAAAATTCATGTGAATAAAATTATTTAATAGCCTGTCATTCATGTAAAAGTAAGTCAACGCTCAAGAGAATTACAACAGAAACTTTCGGTGTCAGTTAAGATCTAATAATTTTAGTTAGTTGAGACAGTTTATAGGGTATTCCTGCACAAACAACAGAATTTGTGTACACTGCACAAACAAGTGTTTGATGATGATGATGATGGTGGTGATCATGGTGTACTGAATGTGTTTAACAACATTGTTTAACAACAATGGCCTCTACAATCTTCAAAATAGCGATAAATTATCAACAAAATAAAAAGAATTAACAAATACCAACAGAAACACAAGAAAATAAAAGTCACAATGTGCCACAGATGGCATGGCTGTACAGTTTGGAACAGAGAAGCGAGAGAACTATATGAAAGATAATAATACGAGCAGGAATGAAGACAATTTTTACCTCAAAATAAGCCTCCTAATAAAGGGATCACCTAAAATCTGCCCCCAAACAGGATTAAGTGTGTTTGATGTTGCCAATGCTAGCCCCCAGGTATTTAGTGAAGATGTGAGTATTGCTTCAGCTTTGTTGAATGTGTCCTATAGTCAAATTTAAGTTGCTGAGCATATTAACTTTCCTTTTCCAGCGAATGAAAAAAATATTTTTTTCATAAAAATGGAACTTTTGCTAGCATGAAGGAAGAGCGCACTGATTACAGACCAAATCAATATCAGTATCTGAAAGTCCAATCAGAAGACAGAAAGCTTGCAGCGGAGCTGTAAGAAACATGGTGAATAGGCTCCCATTTGAATGATGTGAGCAGTCAGACACAGCAGGAGAACAGCTTGGTGAAAGGAGCATTGCAACTGGCTCTCCCTTTTCTGCGTCTGCTATCACCTGCATATTTTGATAAATTACTTTTAAAATGTCTGAGAAATCTAATAACAGCACGCGAAAAAGGAAAATTGTAGCAATGACCTCTTCCAGACTAATGAATATATTTTCATTACACAATTCCTAAAACTAATGAATATTTTGTAATACGGGAGTAAACTGTTGTTTTCCATTAGTTAGTTGTAAGCTGTACCTGTAACTAACTGAGTTAGTTACCGACAGGGGTTCTAGATGCTTAGCTTGCAACTATATAAATAGCTGATCATTCATAGTTTGTAACTGAGAATTCATTTTTCCAGAATACAAAAACTTTTTTCTAAATTACCAATCAACTCTAACATGGGTACCAAAGGCAGGGTAGCTCTAACCTGCTAGTTTATGATAGTATGATTCTATTAGTTAATCATGGTAAATAGTCAATTCTTATGTACAGCTGTCTTTTCTCTTGTATTTCTATAAATACAAACACTGTACAGAATATTGAGAATAATACAGTTCAATTGAAACAGTTTGTTATATCTGTTTTCTTCTTTGTTTTCTCACTTCAAACTCTAATATGGTATCTAGAGCTTTTTTCCTCGATGATCCTGCTTCCGTTGCTGTGTGCTTCTTGACAGTCTTCTTCGTTCCAAGATTGTGTTCACGTTTTTTGGCTTCATTCTTGTTTGCAAATGTGATTTTTGCTTTCGTCCTGTTTCTCGCCATTTATTTCAGTGTTCGCATTCATGATTCTAGCTTTGTTCTTCATTCCCCTTTATAACTTATTTTTACAGATTTGTCGGGCCCTGCTCATATTTCGTCTTATGCAGGCTATAAATACTATGTTTCTTTTGTTAATGCCTTTTCTAGGTATATGTCGATTTCTCCCCTCAAAAATAAATTTGATACTTTGTCTGTCTTTCAAACTTCTAAGAAAATGGTTGAGCTGCAGTTAAACACCAAAATTAAGACTTTTGTTGAACTTTTCCCTCACACTCATCAAAATGGCATTGTTGAACGTAAGCATAGACACATTGTTGAATTAGGACTAACATTATTACATCATGCCTCTCTTCCTTTACAGTTTTGGGATTATGCTTTTGTTACTGTTGTTTATCTAATCAATAGATTTCCCACGTCTTTTTTGAATTTTGCCATTCCATATTCTGTTTTGTTTCGTAAAAATCCTGATTTTCATTTTCTAAAAACCTTTGGCAGTTCTCGTTTTCCTCTATTACGGCCATATCACAGTCTATACTGGATTTTAAGTCTGAAGAGTGTCTTTTATTAGGATATTCTCAGTTGCATAAGGGCTATAAATGTCTCTCTTCCAATGGCCGTATATTTATCTCCAAAGATGTTTTGTTTGACGAGTCCAGATTTCCTTATTCTGATCTGTTTTCCACATCATATAATCCCATTCCTGATGTTGCTCACTATAATTTAAATCCTATTCTTTCTTCACCCCACCAACCACCACCACTTCCTGCATCTTCTGTTCCTGCTGTCTCTCAGTCTCACTCTCCTTCCACATCAGACATGTCTCCTGTTGTCTCTGATGCTGGTGTTTCTTCCTCTTCACAGTCTCAGGATCCTCCTACCTCTTAATTCTCATCCTATGCAAACTCGATCCAAATCAGGCATATTTAAACAGAGTTCATCCTTCTTTGTAGTTAACTCATTCTGAGCCTATATCTGTTAAACAGGCCTTTAAGGATACAGATTGGAGGGCTGCTATGCAGCTTAAATATGATGCTTTAATGCACCAGAAAACCTGGGACTTAGTTTCTTTACCTGTTAACAGGAAGGTTGTTGGTTGTAAATGGGTTTTTCAGGTCAAGGAAAATGCTGATGGCTCCATTAATAAATACAAAGGGAGACAGTGGTTCAATTGCTTACAGCATACTCTTCATCAGTTTGGGTTTGTCAACAGTATTTGTGATACCTCCTTGTTCATCTACAAGAAAGCTTCTGATGTGCATTATCGTCTTGTTTATGTTGATGATATCATCATCACTGGAAATTCTGTTTTTCTCATTCGGCATGTCACATCCAAACTTCAAGCCACATTTTCTTTAAAACAGCTTGATCAACTAGACTACTTTCTTGGTCTAGAAATCAAGCATTTATCTGATCACTCCATTGTCATGACCCAGACCAAGTACATTGGTGACTTGCTTCATAAAACTTATTTGGCAGAAGCTCACTCTATCTCTCTACTCACAAGGTCTCTAACTGCAAGTTTTCCAAACATGAAGCAGATATCTTTGCAGATCCCTACTTTATATTGATCTGTGGTGGAGGTGTTACAGTATGCTACTCTTACACGGCCTGAAATCAGTTTTGCTGCAAATAAAGTCTGTCTGTTTATGGCACGACCTCTTGATTCTCACTGGAATGCTGTTAAACGCAATTTTACGCTGCTTAAAGGGCACTTTGTTCATGGTCTACATTTTCAGCCAGCATTCTTTAATAGTTCAGTCCCTCTGCTTGCCGTCCGTGATGCTGATTGGGCATCTGATATTGATGATCAACGTTCTACATCTGGTGCTGCTATCTTTCTGGGTCCAAATTTAATATCATGGTGGTCAAGTAAACAATAGGTTGTTGCTCGCTCCAGCACTAGGCCGAATACAGAAGTTTAGCTCAAACTTCTTTTGAATTGTCATGGATTTCTAAGTTACTCACTGAACTTCAAGTTCCTTTTAGCTCTCCTGTTTTGTACTGTGACAATCAGTGGGAAGATGTCTTGACTAAGCCTCAATCTTCTTCTCGGTTGATTTCTCTACGTTCCAAACTCAATGTTTAGAATTTTTCTTCTGAAAAGTCTTCTCCTTGAGTTTGAGGGGTTCAGCTAGGGTATGTTAGTATGATTGTATTAGTTAATCACCGTCAATAGTCAATTCTTATGTTCAGCTGTCTTTTCTCTTGTATTTCTATAAATACAAACACTGTACATACTATTAAGAATAATACAGTTCAATAAAAACAGTTTGTTATATCTGTTTTCTCACTCGAAACCTAATAGATTCTAACCAGAATTCTCCACCGCCATTACAAGAACAACCTATACCTTCCCCCTAATTATTAGATAAAGTTAGCATATATATAAATACTATAGACACAAGTATTAGATACAAAAAATATATAAATATATAAAGTATCTGAGGCTTGCCTTAAATGCGTTGCTATTGTCATTATCAATGACTAAAAGAAGTGGTCTTCTAGTAAATGGTAGAAAGTCAGAAGGATATACGCAGTTTGATCCTGAAAAGGGATTGGGTTAAAGTATTCTGCAATTCCAACAAAAAATCATGTGATATGAACACTGAAATTATCATCTTTATGCAAATTTATGAGCTAGACTCATTGAGATATTACAGGAATTTTTTCGATGTATACCCATGATCATAATTAATGTCTTTTAATCACTTTGCTAGGACCTATGTCCGCAAAATTTGACTTAACGCTATTCATGAATGGAGCTGATTTTCAGGAATACTTGAAACATTTCCCACTGTATGCATATGGTTTCAAAAAGGAACCCATAGAAGGCATCTGTACAAAACATGTCAAAAACCAATTATGCTAAAAGCTTATGCAGTTAGAATAACACATCCCATCATGTGACATTGACAACTTACACGCTTTCTTTACCTTACGTAAGAATTTATATTAGTTATTAAGAATACAATTCATACGGATTCAACCACTGACCACTTGGTTTCAACCCTGTACATGTACTGTTGTGTATCAATACTGAGTGTACGCAAATAGTGATTATGGCAGTGATCACCATCTGCGATTTAAAGAGAATAGTGTCCTCTGCATTTCCACTGCAGTGGTCCCTATCACATGGGGGATAGCAGCACTCATGCAGAAATATCATTTTTCTGATAAAAAAAGGATTTAGACTTTTAGTTTGGCCAATTTCAAAACAACCCAAAGGCCTCTCTTGCCAATCTTGCTATTGAAACCTTGAGAGAACCCGAGTACCACCAACCTCGAAGTTGCAACCTTAGCTTTAATGTCATTGCCATAGCTCCGTTGTTGTGGCAGGTCATTGAGAAGACTTGAAGAAGGTTGGATGGCACAAATGTCCTCTCAAGGTTTCAGTTGCAAGAAATTGTATGGCCCGCATGAAAGACCTTTGGGTTATTTTAAAATAGGCAAATCTACGGCTTGAATATTAATAAAAAAATGGTTAAAAATGTTTAGTCCCTAAATTTAGACACAAAATTGAAATTCTTTCCTGTCCCAAACTTTGATACATTTTGATCCTCAAACTTAAAAAATGAATGAATATAGTCTTTCCAACCTAACGACATTAACTTTTTTGTACTTGTTAAATAGTGTAAACAGCTCAAATGTCAGTCTCAAATGTCATTTTACACGTCAAAAAAATTTCACGCAATTGGGTTAGAAAGAATATATCTATTTACTTTTAAAGTTTGAAGATCAAACTATATCAAAATTTGGGATAAGGACAAATTATAATTTTACGAACAAGTTTAAAGAATAAAAACATATCTAATCCTAAAAAAAATATATTTCCATCATGGGGCAACAAACTTAACATGACACCATGCCCACGATGAGTGCAACAACAGAACCGACAGCTAGTTCTCTGCAAGTAGTGATTGCAATAGTTTCCAAAACAGCTATGCCATAGCATTATTTGAAACACGGCTATGTAGTGTGATTTCTTTTATTTAAAGGGTCTTTTTGTAGTAAAAACAATTATCTAAAAGATTATTTGAAGGGGCATGTTAGAATCTAAAAAATATAAAAATATTTATCATATATTTAAAATTATTTGCTACAATTAGTTTCCCTATTTCCTTATTATCTTACAATTAATTACAATATTCCCTTATCATGATTTGCTTCCCTATTTACGAAAGATTATGATTAGTATAAAAAGAGGTTGGTAGAGCTCTAAATTTTACGTAACAAATTAACAAATTGCTATATATTTCTCAATACAGAAGTGTTTCGTTCTCTTTTTTTATCTCTTTATCTCTACATAAACCCCATAATTTCAAAAACAAACCATAGGACTAAGAAACCTAACTCAATCCAAAAAATTGGCTTATAAGGTGAAAATTGTCTAAGCCTTTTTATAAGGACTATATTAGTCATATTCATATTTGATGTAAGATCTACAACAACCCCTTGCCAAAGACTGAACTTTAAAACTGAATTTAAGCCAACAACCCTATAAAATCAACTTACAGGATAAGTTTAAACTCAGTTTTAAATTATAATTAGACCATATCCCTAATCAATGTGGAATTTTTAACATCAACAATTTCTTTGTTTAAATTCTTCACCTATTGTCTCCACCAAAGATGGTTCTATCATTAGGAGTGATAAATGCACAACCTACTGATTCTATCACTTTATGTTCTGCACTGTGTTTACTTCATTTCATTTCCCTTTTAACTTTTTATTTGTTAGAGAATTTACTCAGCGTCATTCACTTTAATGATATCCCACTCCTAGTGTCTTCTAGAATTACGGGAATGTTATGAACACACAATGAAGCCAACTTCAATTGCATGAGGTGAATTTGTGTAAAATGGGTGCAAGGATGACTCTTTATTGTTCCTTGACGTTATACATGTAAGGCAATACAAGAATGGAAGTACACACAAGTTATACCTCTCTCTCCATGAGAACCAAGGTGTATGCAACCAGATTCATTTTGAGGAGAACTACAATATCCTGCATTTGATGTTGAAAAGACAGAGTTCATCTTTACCTAAAGGAATTTAGTTCGCATAAGAAGTGTGATAACCCTATAAATTTACATTCTTATATTCATTGTTTACGGAGTCTAACCTGAAGCTGACAAATACACAAGGAGAATACCATCAGAAGGAAGCTCCTCACATATTGTGGCAAGAACCTGACCATTAAAAGGAAATTCCAAATTATATCTGGAAATAAAAATAAATAAACAAACAATATTCTAAGAAATGGTCACTTTAATGCTAAATGTGAACATTTATTAAATTAGTTGCAGATAACATGATAGGTTTCTGATAAAGAAACCTTATCTCTCACCCAACTAACACACGCAACAGAGCACAAGTTCTGTATAACCTCTGACTTTATTGATCTCCAAGAAAGAATACAAGAATGAAGTAATCTGAGAGCCTAATCTCCCCCAACAAGACTAACCGTCTGTTTATACACTTCAATTGCCAAAAGTCCCTCTCCTCTCCCCATCTCAACAATTTATACAAAAGTATATTCCCGCTCTTCCTAACTGTTAACACAGTTAGGCAACTAACTCCCTCTAACTGTTAACTAACAGTTAACTAACCTCTCCTCCTCCTTGCATACACTCTCAACTTCCTATCATAACAGAAGCACAAATGTGCACATCTATCACATTTTTACCCAGAACAGATGATCTGATACCCTGGTCCCCCCAGGATAATTCCAGCCAACGACCCTAGCAAGTCAATTAGCTGTTATGATATTGTAGCTATGAGATGACTTCATAAATTATTCAATTTCAAGGGCTTGGGAAGCCCATATGAAGGACAAAGAAGAACTTCTAATGCAAATGAAAGTGTAATTCACAGGTATTAGATTATTCGTCCAACAAAAAAGCAATTTATGAGTAATATTACCAGCATTTTCGGACTCCAGAATTTAGAATGAAGAATCATGGTCCAGTTAAATCATATAATTTGTCTGTGACCTAAGTTTGCAAAACCACTTCAAGGGAATTGCACTTCTAATATGCAGAGAGAATAGAAAGATTTGCTATTACCAACCACTTAATAAGCAAAATTGGGAATTCTGATACAACTTGTCAAGGTTTATGTTAGGAAAAAGGGGAGAAATAGAAGTTAAGAGTCAATTAAGAGGGGGTTAGACAGTTAACAGGGGGGTATGTTAGAAGTTAGGAAGCGGTTATAACGCCTACTGTGGGGTTATCTCTTAATGGGGGAAAACATGTCTGAGGGGGCAGTTGGGTATTTTGTTTCAGACAGGTTCTGTCCTGTGTAAAAGAGAAATTCTCCTGGAAGTTGTTGAACGTTTCTGTACTGGCTTTTCTAATAAAACATCATCTTACAAAGTTGGTGTAATATTCGTGTGTATTTTTCTTAATCTGAAAGAGTTTTGGTTTCTTGTCACCAAGAAACCTAACAAATTCTCAATGGAGACGGAGTTTGTTTATAGTGTAATATATACGATGGAGAGTTTCCAATAGCCTTATATCAACAAGGAACAATGGTCTGCAGCCAAATAGAACCCTGCTTCCTTTGATAGATGTTAGACACAATGGCTCGCTTGGACCCAATTTTAAATGATGGAAGCCCATTTTATACATAGAAGAAGTACTCTCTACCCTATCTTTTATATCAAATCCTTGAAACTTGTGCAAAGAATGACTTGTATTCATACTTACGGCTATAAAATGTGTCAGTGCAGGATGGTATAATACAGCTTTCCGTGGATTTGCTGGTAAAGTAGGATCAGCAATGTCTTGGATGTAACTGATGCGACTAGTCCCAGTAGCCCCATTCTGGCTAAGTTTTGAACCACTGGACTGGTAAAATAAGCCACTAGGTTCCCACTCCAGACATTGAAGCATCCTAAAAGTGTCCACTGTGAGCTCTGAATACTTTACCTGTTGAGGAATGATAGTTGAAAACAACATTGAAAAATCATAAAATTTTGCAGAATATTATAGTACCTGTAGAAAACTACCTAATGACTTTATCATTTTCAACAAATTATTATTCTATACAGATGAACCAAAAAGAGTCATGGATACCTACCTCATTTTCATGGAAGCTACTTAATACAGCATCTCGTAGTTTCAAATGTCGCTTTGTAATGGCTGCAGGAACATGTGGCAAGGTATCAGGATGAGAGTCCAAAACTAGACTATATCTTAAGGGCCTGAGATTCATAAAAGCAGTGTCAGCTTTTAAAAATCTGACTATTTCTTGAACCACCAGCTTCCATTCTTTAAAGTCACTTTCCTGTAACCAAATTGTTTGAAGGTCACTTCCAATACATCTGCAAATGTCAATCTATCAAAGCATATTCTGGGTACAGGACAACATCATGTTTTGCATGGAACACTCCAATTAGCAGTCTAGTACAACGTACATTAGTTAAACTGTAAAAAATATGCAGTAAATGATCTACCTCCATGATATAAATGAAAATAGATATCAAGGGCTATATTTCAAAGAATATATTGGTTGCATAGTAGTAGGCACTAGACAACCATTACCATGCAGCATGGAACCCAACTATTCAGAACATGCAACACCTTTACATCATTTGTAAAAACAATCAGATTGGCTAAATACAGTGTCTCAAATATAATGGAAATGAAATTATCTTTCAATGAACTATACAAGAGAAAATTAGCATGGACAAACCTGGAATGCTCTCTTGCATTCATCGACTAATACTTTAAGCTGATTAACCAATTGTTGTACCATTTCCCTCCGATTCAAAACCAAACACACCATTATGAATCTAGCAAGAAACCTCAATTGTTTGTTTGCAATATTCACATCCTGAAACATTCCCTCCTTAAAATACTCCCGAGTCAATATGGCCTCATAGAATATATATGACTCTGACAGATAATTTGCATCACTTGTTTGCATGTACTGCCCAAAATACAGTTGCCCAATGCGAGATGCAATTTCACCAATTTCCCATCTCCTAAGCCCAGCTTCAACTAGCTTCTGCCGATTCTCCTGCTGAAACTTCCACAATTGTGTGTAAACCTTGAAGACCTTGTAAAAGTACGTATCACGCCTACAGCAAAGCCACATGATTAGAAATTTTGTGCACTTTGAACAAACAAAAAGTGAGGCTAAATTGCAATTTTTTAATCCTCCTTTGCTTCCTGATTCATGATTTTAGTCCCCATATTTTTTTTTCTGATTTTAGCCCCCTTATACTAGAAATCTGCAATTTTGATGCAATCTTCAGCTTTAAATAGGCTTATTTCTTTTTCTTAATACATTTTAGTTAATTAAATAATGTCATGATTATCTTAAATGCATATGCTAGGTCTAGAATTCAATTGCATCAAAATAAACTGAATGCAGAATAAGGATTATATCAAAATTGCTGGTTTTCTAAAATATCGGAAATAAAATCATGAAAAAAAGGAATAGGGGAACAAAAATCATTGAACAGAAATTAAAGGGCGCCAAAATTGTTAATTAGGAAAAAGTTAATTGTAAACCATATCATTGTTAATTTCCAATTGATTAACCAAAATCATGAAATTATTATTTCTGACGACCAATGTAAGGCCTAACTGTTAGGTATACAGAACAAAACAGAAAACCAATCCAATTCTTCCATAAGTGTGTGTCCACTGGACTCCTTATAAAACTGTATACAAGTATCAAATATCAATCAACCATATTCAGTCAAAAATGAATGTATCAACAATCATACCTGAGTCCAAATCACATCAATAATATAGCATTTGGATGTCAACCAAAATTTCAATATTGCTTTCAAAATTTCAGTACAGGAAACATAATAAGTTTAAGGCTCACATCCAAATGAGCTCATGAACAATAATTGGATAGAACTTCTACGTAGTTCATTAAACATTTTTTCTTCTTGCTGAAAGGATTAGTGACAAAACAAGTGATGGAGGATAGTACTGCATTGGTACTTGCTCTAACACCATGTTGAGAAGAGAACCAAAAAGGAATACACTAAATTTTGTGTATTGTGTACAAACATGAGTATTCTTATTTATAATGAAAAAGAGATAATAATGAACAAAATCAATATCTAATATTGAAAAATATTTTGTAAGATATTTCCCTATTAAATCTATCATATCTCCCTATTTAATGCAATCAAAACATATCTCTAACATAATCAGTGAACTGCATTCTGTTACTGTTTAGTGATCCAACTGTCATTCTGTTAGTTACTTGTCTGTTATTTAGTTAGATCTATAAGAGATCTCCTCACTTTGTACATTGCTCTATAAACAGAGCTACTATGTATTCTCTGGATAAATAGTTTTCTTTTCATCAGTTTCTATCTCTCTATACTAACAAAGAACAACACCAAAAGTGCACATGAAACTATATCTAAGTTCTGCTCATATTTATTCCTCAATCCAGGGACTCAACATCAAAACCTATTCTTGGTTTTCATTCCATAGTGCAGCAAAAATCACATTACTTTCAATTACATTCACAAACCACACCATTATAGTGATAATGTCAACTCCCAATGAACTCATCATCCGAATGAAATCTTTACTCTCCAACATAGCATGCCCAAAAAATCCTAAAATGTCTTAGTTTGTCTTAGCTTCAAGGCCTATGAAGCTCGGACACACCTCATAAATGGCGTTTACCGTGTCTAACACGTATCAAACACCGACACTCATGTGATACTCACACAACACACGTATCGATAAAGTGTCCAATTTGAAACACAACTTTTGGTCTTTGACATGATTTTGACATGACTCCAACACAATGCTAATAACCAATAATTCAATGATTTTCTAAAAATCCCAAAAACTTGTAAACTTATTACATAAGTTTCTATTATGATTATAAAAATAAGGAACAAATCTTATATGATCACTACTTTTTGCTTTTTGGATATTAGATAGAGAGATTATATTCATTTTTGTGTTAGTTGACAATGTGTTAGTTGTAAGTTTGAAACTAATATGTATATACACGACGTGTCCTGTATCCTATATTTTTTCAATTTAGCCATATCTCCATGTCCGTGTCTTGTATCCGTATCTGGGCTTCATAGTTCAAGGCTAACCTCTCAAACAAATCATCAAATAACTATTAATTTTTCCATTCACCCCAAGGTTGTCAAACTCGAGAGTTTACGTAAACTCGTGGGAGCTTCGTAAACTCGGATCGTAAACTCGAATCGTAAACTCGTAAGAGTTTACTTCGTGTAAAAATATTTTAAAATATCTATAAATAATAGAATAATTTAATATTATAATTTATAAATAATGTTTTTATACTTTTATAATATTATTATAATTATTAGTTTATCATATTATATATATTTAAATATTTTTCTTTAATATTATTATTATTTTGTCATAATTTTAATTGAATATAATTGAAACTTCAGTTAGAAAAACAAGTTCTTCAAGTTAATATTGGTCCAAAAGTTTGGTATTCTAAAAGGAGGCCCAATAATCAGAATAATAATGAATAGATACTTTAATATTAAATATTTTAATATTAAATATCTACATGCTAAAATTGAAAAATGTGACACGGGTTATAATTTTAGAATGAATGACAAAACTTCACCCACCAACAGCGGCTGGAAGAAGAAGGGCAGACCAGAAGTTGCGAACGGCGGCCACTGTGACAGTGATCGCAACTGGGGACGAAGCGAACGGCGATAACGAGGGGACGAAACGCGACCACAACCGGGGACTGAACGAACGGCGACGACCACGATCAGCAACCGGGGACGAAGCGCGAACACGAGCGGAGCTTGACCACGAGCGACGAAGATCAGTGGTGGAGTGAAAACCAGGCGAACGACAGTGGTGGAGTGAAAATCAGGTTTTAAACCCTAAACAAAACGACACTTAGGTTCTTCGTTTCTGGCTTTTTTCGAACTCGCTAAATCGCTGTGCAATCGCGATTTCGAACGATTCCACCGAGTCCGTGTCCGATTCTACCGAGTTCAGTCCAAAAACGAGTTTGGTACCGAGTTAACTCGGCAACCATGGCTGAAAACGTAAACTCGAACGAGTTAACGAGTTAACTCGCGAGTTTGATAACCATGATTCACCCTCTCTTTCCCTTGTTTGCCATCAATGTGAGGTTTTAAAAAATAGTCTGCAACCACAATTTTAGCCTTAGCACCAAGTTGTTTGGTCAACTGCAACTGCATCAACAACATTTACGGGCCATTTCACACAATTATAAGAATCACAATGAAACTACAACCAGAATTTAAAACCTTACTTGTGACAAATAAACAAATAATAAAATGAAACAATCCACCCATAAAGTTGAAAACACACCTACAAAAGTGTGTTGTAAATTAAAACATATTAATCTCAAGGTTCACTACCAATGCACTCGTCATCACAGTGAAAACCTTACTACCAAGACAGTGTAAGCAATAAATCCTAACATATCTGAGCCCCCAGGTTCACCTCTCTTATAAAGTGGGTTCAAGCCTAACTCAACCTACAAAACCTTGCAAAGGTTGCCACTCACCATATCTCTAGTCAATCTAGAATTTCCAACATCATCTTTAACAAAACATCAAATAACACCTATTTGTTTCCATTCTCTCTCTTGTTTCCATCAGATTGAGATTTTAAAAGACAGTCTGCAACCGTTATTTTGGCTACAACTTCAAGGATTTTGGACCCATTGCAACCACATTGACAACATTTGCCCACAACTTCCCAGTGATAAGAACTCACGGTTTTAAAATACCGTTTACAACCACAACTTCGGCAGCAAGATCAAGGCTTTTGGGGCCTTTCTAACTGCATCAGCAACATTTGTAGGCAATTTAAAAATCATAACCAAACCACAATCACAATATAAAACCTTACATGTGACGAATAAATAAACAATAAAATAAAACGAACAATTAGCCCAAAATTAAAACATACCAAATATCAAGGTCAACTTCCAACGAACTCAACATCACAATGAAATATTTACTCCCCACTGCTCAACATACCTTAGATTCAAGGCTGATCTCTTAAGCAAATAATCAAATAAGTCCTCCTCATCACATTAACTTAACCCAATTCTTCCCTTCTCTTGCTTCTATCCGTGAAAGGTTCTCAAGAAACAGACGCAACCACAATTTCAGGCACAACACTAACATTTTCTAGGCCCCCTTTAACTGCATCGGCAGCATTTGCCGGCAATTTCCCTCAATTTCAAGAATCGTGACAGAACCGCAAAATTTAAAACCGAAAACCTCCCCATGACGAACAAACAAATAAATAATAAAGCAAGAAGCAAAGCATTCGACCTAAAACCTAAAAAACACCCAAAAACTAGTCCTAGATCAAAACACACCAATCTCTAGGTGAACTTAAACTAGCAAACGAACGAGTGTAGTCACGAATTGAACCTGCTGCGCTGGTAAAAAGGAATGTCCCTGATTTTGGAGAACTTTTTGTCGGCTTTATCGGCCAGAGTCCAGAAAATCTCGCTCGCTGGGATGCCCATGCTGCCGCCGCCGCCGCCACTGTTCTGCATTTGCTGTTGCTGCGAAGACATCTTCCGCCGCCGACGACGACGCCGTTTGGATTTGCGACAACAATCGATTGATTGTGATTACAACGCTAACGCGCGCACACACACACGTCTGATAACTACACAAACTTCGTTCAGTGATGATTGTTCCCACCTTCAACCTTTGGCTTTTTCTCAACGTTTCTTATCCTCTTTTCTTTTCTTTCTTTAATATTTTCTTTTATAAAAAAACATTCTTATGCGTAGATAAAATTCAAAATAGATAACAAATAAATATTTTTAATAAATATAAAGAATAGAAAAGTGTGTTAAATTTAAATTAAAATTAAAAATTAAATACATATGAAAAAGTAAGTACGATTTCTTGTAAATTTTGGTTCACTTTTTAATTCCTATTAAATGAAAATGAAATAAATATTTAAGGTGTATTTGGTTACTAAGTGAAATTAACTTATTTGTATTCACAAAATTATATTTTGAACTATAGAATATTTAAAATAATAAGAACAGATTATTTTACTATTAAAATTTTAAATTATAAATATAATTTTTATAAATAAGTTTCATTATATTAAAAATATAAACATTTTCCTAGAACTTTCTCTCTAAGATATTTTACAATTTGTTCACTTTTTTGAAAATCGGAGGCCAATATTTATCATAACAATGAGTTCATAAAAAACAAACGAATCAATTTCTTCAATAGGATAAATTAGTTTTTTGTCTTTGTTTTGCTATGTTGGTTCTTCTGCTCCATGTGACCCTTTTTGGCTTGCATGTAGTGTTTGTATTCTTCTTGCTAATCTTTATTGATTAGTGATTTTAATGGTGTGTATTGATCGTGTTTGCATTATTCATAAGACAGTTTGAACTATTTGTGCGTTTAAGAGTGTTACAGGGGTCATCGAGCTGATTGGTAGTCTTTCACATAAAGGAAACTAGTTGCTTTAATGTGCGTGAGTTGGATAATTCTGATTGATAATAGTATGTTGTTGAATCTGGTTGATGTTATGTTTGAATTAAATGGTATGGTTTAATAATTGAATTGAGTTTTGGCTTGTGATTTTATGACTGAGAGAATTGAATAGCTGAGCAATTGTATAAATTAGTATGAATTTAAGGTATAAAAACTGTGTTGAACCATTTCTCTGGAAAAGGAATACCAATTTGAGCAGTTGATCAAGTTTCATTTCACTTAAAAAACAAATCTAATTTGTGCTGAAATTTGGTATAGCACTAAGCGATTTTGGTGTGGCGCTAAGCGCAAGCTAGGTTGTGCAAGTATAGAAACATTTTTGCTCCAGACTGTTGAATGTCCTTTTTTCACCACTGAGCATCAAATTTTGCTAATGCTTTGTCGCTTAGTGGTGGCAGGGCACCGCCGAGCACCATCTTGCACTATAAGTCTTGAGCAATTTTAGTTTAAAGGCACTAAGTTGTAGAACAGATTAACCTATTAAGAGTATATGCTATTTGGGGAAGCAATAGACTAATGGGTTAGTATGAAGATGATGATGAAAGAAAGTGGAGAGAACATCACTTGGAATCTATTTAAAAAGAAATTTTATGTTGAGTACTTCCCAAATAGTGTGAAGTATGCGAAGGAAGTGGAGTTTTTGCAGTTGGTATAAGGAGGTATGACTATATCTGAATATGTTGAACGGTTTAATCATCTGGGAAGGTTTCATGTTTTGAGAATGGATGAAGAGTGACAATGTAGAAAGTTTAAAAATGACTTAATGGGAGATCTCAAGTTGATGATAGCTCCTCTCTCTATTAAAGAATTCCCTACTTTAGTAGAGAAGGCAATGGTGATGGAGAACTTAAAGGGAGAAATGGAAAGTCAGTAAAGACAACAACAAAAGGTGGGAGGATCATCTAGGTCCAAACATATACATAAGGAGAGGAAGAAACCATATTCTAGGACATAACCTTAAGAGACTAAAGGGTTTTCTTCTCAGGAACAATTTAATCTATCCCAAGTTCAATGCTTTTAGTATGAAGGGCCAATATAAGGAATATGTGTCATCAGTTGGTAATGTTAGGAGATGTTTCAATTATGGGAAAAAGGGGCATTCAAAGATTGTTCTTCTAATAAAAGCACTCTACCAAGACCTGCAACAATGTTTCAAATTCAATAGAAGAGGAAAGGTGATAGATCTCAAGCTTCAGGGAGAGTTTATGTCATGACAGGGTCAAGGCAACCGGTTAAGGTAATTTTATAGTTGGATGTTATGAGATAGCTGGTAAATTTTTATTCGTGTTATATGACTTTGGAGTGACACACTCCTTTCTATTAGAAGTTTGTGTTAAAAAGTTGAGTCTACCAATGTAAGAGTTGTAGTACGATCTTGTGGTATCTACTCTAGTCTCTAGTTTAGTTATGATGTTAGTATTGTGTGTCAGATGTACAGTGATAGTAGAAGGCCGTAGGGTCAAGGTCAACCTTATATGCTTGCTTCTATAGGGTTTGGATGTTATCTTAGGAAGGGATTGGCTATCTGTCAATCACATTCTTATTGATTGTAGTGAAAAGAGGTTGTTGTTCCCTAGCTTAGTAGAGTATGTGGTGTTGTGTTCTCATCGAGTGTTGCAATAAATCAAGAAGGGGTCCTAGTGATTCATCATCTTAACTCATTTGGAAGTTGAGAAAGGTGATAGAAGTGTGGATATCTTTATAGCAAAAGAGTTTGGAGATATCTTTCCTGAGGAAGTATCAAGGTTGCCTTTTCAGAGAGAAATGAAATTTTCTATTGATTTTGTGCCAGGAATAGCTCCTTATGGTATGGCTCTAGCAGAGTTGGTAGAGTTGAAGAAGTAGATAGAAAAATTGTTAGAAAAGTAGTTTTTCCAGCCCAATGTGTCACCATGGGGAGCCCAAGTGTTGTTAGTAGAAAAGAAAGACGTAGCTCAAGGTTATGCATGAATTACAAATAGTTGAATAAGTTGACTATCAAGAACAAGTACTCCCCTATCGAGGATAAATAATTTGATAGATCAGTTGCATAATGCAATGGTGTTTTCAAAGATTGATCTAAGATTGGGGCACCATCAGATTTTGGTCAAGAATGAAGATGTGCAAAAGATATCCTTTAGGTTCATATATGGACATTATGAGTATGTAGTTATGCTTTTTGTTGTAATTAATATTTTTGTCTTTCCTAGATAAGTTTGTTGTGGTATTCATATACGACATACTATTTTACTCCAAACTCATGAAGAGCATGTTGAACATCTTAAAGCAGTGCTTGGCATTTTGAGAGAGAAGAAGTTGTATGCCAAACTATCTAAGTGTGAGTTTTTTTATGATGGAAGTGCAATTTTTAAAACTTATGATATAAGCTCAGAGAATATTTGTGCATCTGGCCAAGTTGGAGGCCCTGTTTAAATGGGAGTGTCTTAAGTTTGTGTCAGAGGTACAAAGTTTTATGGGTCTAGCTAGTTAACATTGGAGATTCATTGAAGTATTCTATAAGATGGTGACGCCCTTGACTATATTACATATTTACAAAAAGTGTTTAAAATAAAGAAGAAGACTGTGATTTTCCACAAGAGTATAATCCTTAAAGCTCCATCTTCTTCTTCCATCTTCTTTAACCATGGCTCTTTATGAGAGATCTAATGTCTTCTAAGGCATAAGGGAAAGCAAGAACAAGCTTGAAATTCCTTCTTCTTCTTTCAATCTCCTAACCTTAGCTTAAGTTGACGCTCCCTTCGTGGATCTCCATTTAGTTCCCAAAACAGATTCCATCATTTTGTGTTATGATCTGATGGTGTTTTGAGGTTCAAATGCAGAGTTTGTGTACCGGATGATGTTGAGTTGAAGAGTTTGATTCTTGAAGAAGGACAAAATACTCGTCTTGACATCCATCCCGATATGACCAAGATGTATTAAGATTTGAAGGATTCTTTCTGGTGCTTAGGTATCAAACATGATGTATCTTAATTTGTAGCTTCTTGTTTAACTTGTTAGAAGACAAAATTGGAACATCAAAGACTAAAAGGGATGTTGCAACAGTTGAAGATACCATAGTGAAAATGGTATATCATAGCTATGAATTTTGTTACCTATTTGCCATAGTTTGTGAAGGGTAATGATGTTGTCAGGGTGATAGTAAATCATTTAACAAGGAGCATTCATTTTCTAGCAATTAATATGAGGATGCATGGTCAAACTGACATAGTTGTATATAAAGGAGATAGTAAGGCTGCATGGGTTGCCTTCGAGTATTGTGTTAGACAAAAAACTGATTTTTACCTCTAGATTTTAACAGAGGGTACAACATTCTTTGGGTAGCAGGCTGAGGATGAGTTCAGCTTATCATCCTCAGACAGATGGACAATAAAAGAGATTAATTAAGTCACTTGAAGATCTGTTGAGGACATTTGTATTAGATCATTTGGGTGGATGGGATGAAGTTATGCCTTTGATGGAGTTTATCTACAATAACAATTACCATATCAGGATGGATTCATATGAAGCTTTATACGACAGAAGGTGCAAAACCCCTTTATGTTGATATTAGGATGGAGAGGCTATATTGGTAGGGCCTAAGTTGTTGAAGCAAACAACGAAAACGATGAAAAAGATACAAGAGAGGATGAAGGCCTCGTAGAGTCGATAATAGTCTTATGCTTACTAAAGGAGTAAACCTTTGAAGTTTGTAGTTGGAGTACATGTTTTCTTGAGAGTAACCCAACCAGTAGTGTGGGAAGGGTTATTCATTTGAGAAAACATTCTCCTAAGTTCATTAGTCTATATCAAATCTTGAGAAGAATTAGACCAATAACTTATGAGATCGCTTTACCTCCTCAGTTAGCCAACCTTCATTTGATTTTCCACGTCTCTTAGTTGAGAAAGTATATGCTTGATCCTTCTCATGTGCTAGAGGTAGAGGACAAGTCAGAGAAGATCTCTCATTAGAGGTGCCACCTTTTGTTATAGGGGATCGCCAAACGAAGCAACTTAGAGGAAAATCAATCAATCTAGTCAAGGTAGTCTAGGACAGGAAATTCAGTGACTCTACATGGGAGTTAGATGAGAATATGAAATAGTCAGACCCATATATATTTCCTAGTAAGTTAAAGTTTTTGAAGTAAAAAAATATTATATGGAAGAATGTAAAAGTCTAGAAAATTGTGTTTTAGAATTGATATTGTGCTTAAAATGATGAGACTGAATTATT